ACTCAACTTTCTCACAACCATTATTCAATTTGTCAGTCGCACTGAATAACATCATCAGCCAATAAACGCTAATGTCACTTGTATACACACACTACCCAACTTTCTACTTGTAGCTGCAAAACAAAGCTAACAAAGTGAATATATTACTCATTTGATGGCTTCTACACAACCAACCACTCTTGCTGAATAACATAAACATCAAAAGTGCTTTTTCAACAACTAAACAACCTGTACTCAGCTTATAAACTGTGTTATAGCAAATTCGGAAGCATTTTCACAGTCAACTAGGTTTATTTTTAGACGTGTGCAGTTTTACAGCTTTTACTCTGCTCTTTTATAACTAGTCGAGAAAAGTGATTCGTGTGCACTATTATAAAACCTCTATTCAGCAATTTTGTTGTAGAAGGGAATGTTGATTTGTTTACATAAGTTCAAAGTGTTGGCGTAGCACAGTTGGTAGTGTCAAGGTTTGCCAATGAGGTCGTCTCGAGTTCGATTCTAGGTTCCGGTGCAGGGTAAATAATTTGGTGATGATTTGTAACTAATTTCGATTAATTTTGATAGACAGCAAAATAAACTCAATAAATTCCTTCATAAAAAAGCGTAAACAGTATTTAACTCGGCTTCAAGAGAAAGCTGTGTAGTGAATATTGGATAACCGGGAAAAGGTTGAATAAGCGCCTTTCAAGTTCACACACAACTAAACAGCAGGATAACAGCTGTATTGAACCGTTAATGGATATGCAATAAGAGCTTCTCCCGACCGTTCCAACAGCCATAAGTAGCTGACTAAGTTCGCCAGATTTGCTTTTATAGAGGTTGAGTAAAAGTTTCCTCATATCGTATAACGTTTGAATACAGCTTGAGACTGTATAAATGAAATGAGTAAAGCCGTTTACATTGTGAAAATTGTTAGTTGGGTACAGAAGGAACAGCAGCAGCATTGGAAGCAGCCGCAACCGTGGTAGCTGCATCGCTAATTCGTGTAGCCGTAGCCGACGCTGGAAATCTTGATCTCGTCACGACAAGCGGTGCTTGAGTTTTCATCGGAAAGTCAACAACCAAATAAAAACTATACCATTCGAACTGCTCCAATACATCCATGGTGGTGGCTGCTTCACCAACCATTACATCGTCCTTCATATAATGTTGGAGGACCGTCTTGGCAAAATCTCAAATAGTTCAACAAATTATTTTTACTCTCCTGCCTTTTTGCACTTCCAACTAACATCTTCATAATGAACGGGAGTTTTGTGCATTTGTGATCGATCGCGATGTGGTTGCACTTCATGATGGCGTTCACCGCCAGGGCTACGCTTGGGAACTCGACCAATCCGGAAGAGGAACTTTCCGATTTCAGCGGGATCATTCGCACTTGCGACGGGTGGCAGTCCTTGGTGGTGAATGCAGTCAGCAGCAGATCCTCGGACGGCATACGGGTGGGGTATTGAAGAAGTGAAAAATGCAATTTTTGGTGGCCTGGGATACGATTGTTCTTGGAGGCGCTGTAGACCTTGAAGCTGATCGAATTGTCCGGCAGGGTGTACGGGTTGGTAAAACTTGACAAGTAGTTCTTGGAAAATTAGCTGGTCCGTTTCGGGTCAGCGGTGCGTCCTTCATCAGTCCGATGTGTGTTCCGGCCGGTGTTGGTTTCCAGTTTTCCGACGGATGATACTCGGGCGGTGAAAAATTTGGTGCTAATCCTTTTCCTCCGCCGGCTCCCAGAAGCGTTGGTTGACTAATGATTGACGTTCGTTGTGCGGGGTCGGCCTTCCGCCGAAGATGGAAGGATCGTGTAGCAGCGGAGCTCGTCCGTTGCAGGCATCCTTGGAGACGGATGCATCCAGTGTGTAGTCCCAACTGGAGTCCGTGTCGTTTTTGAAAACATTGAAAAAAAAACAAAAACAGGAGCTGTTAAAATACCGGGTTGCCAAACAAGGCATTATTCACAAGCAATCAAAAGTCAGTTCAATGACTTCTTTGCACTGCTGGTACAGCTGCGGCACACTGAGGTACACTGAGAAAAAAGTTGGCGCAAAACAAGTGTGTAGAGTGACCACCCCTTGAAGTAACCCTAATTACAAATGGGGTAAAATTTCACCAATTTTGAATAAAAGTGGCTCAACTATTTCATGAGTATGTGTTATCCGTTCATTAGTAACTGTTACACGTTAAATATCAATCATCGGTAACAATTACTCATTAAATGGGTAACAGACGCATTAATGAGTTAAGCCACTTTACTTCTAAATGGGGAAATTTTCATTGTTAATGTGCACTTTAAATTTAGCGTGGACAGAAGTTAATCTGGGTTGCCAGAATCTATTTTCGATCCAGCTGGTTATTAATTAAGTTTTTTTTTGTTAAATCGTTGCAATTTTTCCGCTGCTCAGAACATTTAAAGAAGGAAATTCCACCTTTTCACCTGCTGAGAATAGTGCTGCCTCCAGGTCATAGCTTGTAAATGCGTTTTTCAGGTGATATTATAGCCTTTTGCTACACCTCCAATATACGAGTAATACCACGTTCACATTACAGCCTATATCACGTAATATAGGCTTTCTTGCAATGAGCACTCATACATAGGATTTGGTCTTCATTATGGCCCAAAATCTTTCCACCGGACGAATCTCTGGTGAATTTGGGGGGTTGGCGGTTTTTGGTACAAAAAAACGTTATTGTCTCTGTACCAATCCAACGCCGATCGCGCGTAATGGCATGATGCCAGGTCCGGCCAAAATAATGTCTCGCCTCCGTGGGACCGCAGGAAGGGCAACAGACGCTTCTAGAGGCACTCGGTGCGGAAAATTTCGCTGTTGATGGTACCCATTGTGATGTACGGTTTACTCAGTTTACCGCATTGGCCTGCCAGAGCAAGTAATTTTTGGCGAATTTGTCCACTTTCTTCTTCCTTATGTCTTCCGGAACATCAAACCGTGATTTGGCAACGTAGAACTCCAGCCCCGGTATCTGCTTTGCGTCTGCCTTGATGTAGGTTTCGTCATCCATAACCACACACATCGGTTTCGTTAACCACTCTCGATACAGCTTCCTTGCGCGGGATTTGGCCGCCGTGTTTTATTGATCACGCCGGTTCGGTGCCTTCCGGACCTTGAATACACGAAGCCCAGCTCGTTTCTTGGTTTGCTGAACGAACCAGGCGGAACACTTTGCCTTCAGAGCCGCGTCGCGAATCTAAAGGTTCGGATTACGGGCCTTCACAGGGTCAGTCTTCTTCGATTTTCTTCCACATCCAGCCCGCTGCTTGGTCTTCTGGGACTCCATAAACGATTTTACCACCCGAGACACAGTTTTATGGGTGATTCCCAGTTGTCTTCCGATCCATCTCATGGTAGCAGTCGGATTTTCCATGACAGCGCGCAAAATTCTCTGGCGATTTTATTTTTGTTTCGATTACATCTCAATAACCACTTAACCGATTGTTATGAAATTTTGCACATGTAAACTTCACTCTAAACTAGTTTTACCCAGATTTTCATCAATTTTTACCCACGGATAAACAAGTTACACACGGATAAAATGGTGCATTTTTTTCGAGTACAAGCCTTAAGGTGGACGATCGAAGAGTGCTGTTCTGGATTTTTTTAACAGGAAAGTGATATTGATGAGGAACGGATGCTTGAATTTCCTGAATCGAGTTCCACAGTCTGCGGATTGTGTCGGACGGCCAAGAGGTGTTTCAAGACTACATTCGGGATATTCTGTGCCAGCTCTACCACAAACCGGATTACCCCGTGAAGCGAACCGTCTACAATTGTGACTTGCTTGTTGGGTTCACTTGGCCAGATTTGGTGAGTTCGTTCTATTGTGTCCTTTATAATATTTTCATACTTCATTTCCGAGTACAAGTACTGGTACTAGTGATATTGCTGATTTACAGAAATCATGGCATGCATAAAAATTTCACAAATGAGAAGAAGCAACATCCACAGCTGTCAAACATAAGCAGAAAATGAAACAAATCACAACCGGATAATAACTGTAATTCTTCGAAGCCTCAGTAAAAGATGGATCGATCTGTTTGATGTATACAATCCGATCCGCTGGAAATATGTGTGGAGACGGGTGTCCTCATGAAATTAAGTAGTGTAGTAGTCCATAGGTTGGTCGGAGGATCTTCTTGTGCCAATGCGCTGAAATGCAGTTTTCATTTACTTTTCTATTCAAATAGCATCAGATTTTTTTCAATTTATCTTGCAAGCTATCATCGGACTAGTTGTTTTAAATGTTGTCTTGAATGTTTTATGTGTAACCATGTGACCAAGGTCTCCAACTCGGTCTTCAAGGAACGATTTTGGTTCAGTGTTCGAAAATCCCAAAAGCAGCTGTCAGTGACGATTGTCAATTTCGGTTCTCAAATATGACGCCAAATGCTAATTTTACAACATTTCCAACTAATTAAATACGCGTTAATCAAGCAATACAGTTTAATTGAAAGTTCCAGTACATAATTGATGATTCCCACATTGTAATGTATTGGAGCGGAATGCTTGTGTTCTTGAAATGGGCTTTTGGAGTTGCGATAATGCTGTCACCTTCTAACTGCCGGATTTAAGCTTCTAGTCAAGCTTCTTGCAATTATTTATATAAAAGATGGTTGCAGGAGGATTCTATCCATAATGTAACTGCCAGTCAGTGGGAGTTAGATTGTACCTCCAATATACGAGTAAGGTAGATTTATGAATTTTATCCGTTGCATGAAATAATTTTGGTGTATTTCCCTGTCCCTGTTAGAGCCGATCAAAATCCATAATTTTCCGACGAAGCAAAGCTAAAAAAATAAATCGTACCCCTTAAGTATTCTTTGGAATGCTTTCTTTCACAGGACTAAACATGGATTTACGAAAATTAAGAACTCAAATTAAGTTTATTTTCTTAAAATAAAACTAGCACAAATAAAGAAGTAAACAATGCATGATTCTTACCATAAAGTGATTGAAACACAATTTTCCTAAATCGATGACATGATGAAATAATGAATTAGAAGAAAAGAAAAATAAACTGTGGTACTATCTGATGAAACTCCCAACGGAGTCGCAGCAGCTGAGCCTTACGAAACTAGAACTGAGATCATCTTCCTTGGCATCGAACGGAAGTGGCTGATTGTTTTCGAATTCGGTAACGTCCCCTGGCCCTGGTTCTCACTCTGGTCTGGGAACGTTTCCAAATTTTGGGAAATCTTAGAAATTGTCTTCGCTTGTCTTTGAATATCTTATTTTCTATGAGGGGAAGGGATTTTTAAACCGAGGATCAAATTATGTGAGTACTAACATAAAGGAAAAAAAAAAATAAGAGAAGGAAACACCTAGATGCTAGTCAGTACTTGGACCTAATATCGACAATACGCATTTCAAGTTATCGTAACAACTTGTTTTACAAAAAAAAAACAGTGTTTATAAAAATCATATTGACGAAGCAAAATCAAAAAAGTTAAACCATTCCTTGTCTTTTGATCAAATTGCCTTACGCCTTACGCTTATGCTAGCTAACTAAATATATTTCTCGCTTGGAAACTCAAATGCCTTCAGTTACGATTGCTTTCATCACAGGAAACCGACCGGCGAGGAGGAAGTGCTTGCTTCGGAGTGTCTTTCTCAAATCGGGATTAAAGATGGCTGCTTGGCAACGCTGTTCGATGGAAGGAAAATGAAACGAAACCAGTCAAAAGGTGTGTTAGGAAGAACGATGATTGCAAGATATGACTTACCATCAACTTTGTTGAATTGATAGACAGCAATCCAGTCCGGTCGGTTGGTAAGCTTTGATGATTGTGTTTTTTGTAATTTTTGTTGATTTTGTTTTTTCGTAATAAAATTTAATTGATTTTTACTGGAACTTTAGTTTTCAGTGCAGAATACACTTCCGATGCGTAATGCGATCCGATCCGATGTCAGTAGAGCAGCTGGAACAGATAGTAAATCCGGTTGCAGAAGATGCAGGATGTTTGGTCTGGACCGAGGACACCTGGAATGGAGTGGATAAAAGATGTTGTGATTAGAATTTGGGATTTATGAAAATTGAAAAATAAGCTTTATTGAATTAAAAATATACATATATGCACTGCAAGTTGTGCCTAATTAAAAAAAAAGTGTATCAAAAACTGTGAGTGGGCGTGTAGGTAAAAATTCATTTACTTTCACTGCCTTAAACGCAAACTTTTAAAGTTTTTCACCCTGGCAAACTAAAAATGCGCATAGTAGATAGATCGTAGACCCGTTGATGAAGCCCAGAGGCGGTGGATGTCAGGTGAGACCGTACATCTTTGGCGCAGGGTCCCGCTACGTTTGGTTACCAAAACATCTAGCAGATAGTCCCAGAGGCGGTGGATGCATTCCCAGTTCCAGCGGAGTCACGGATAATCGGGAACTGGAACCATATGTTGCACAAAATTAAGGGGCGCAGTGTCACCATAGAGGTAACTCTAAGACCAGAAGGTCGCAAAGATACGTGCTCAACTTTTTGGCTCAGCTCTGGTACTATCTTCGGTCCCAAGCTAATCGATTCACCCCTCGAAACATAAGATAATCCATGAACCCCTCATTTTATCTGTCAAACTTTCATAGCAAATCAAAACAAACATAGTGTAGTACTAGAATTTCGACTAGAATGGGATACGTTAATCGTTTGCTTGGGACCAATAGGCTAGTCAAGCAGTGAGCCATTTTAAAATCGTTAGTTTCGAATTGATTGTTGGTGTCACCGCCGTCTTCGGCCAGACATAAAACAGCCTTGTTACCTGACAGAGAGCTGGTGTCCTACTAGACCGTAGACCCGATGATGAAACCTTAAAAAATCTTAGTATGTTCCTTGAAATTAATCAAACTGCCCTAAATATCTCTAAGCTTCACGAAGTTTTCAGCTGTAGCACTTTTTTTTGTGTGTGTGGAGCTTCTGGCATTTGTCTTGTTCTCTAAACCTCCTGACAGTGTTGGCAAAATCATCAATCAAATGATATTTTCCGCTCTCAATGCTCTGAACATCTCGCGTGATATGGGAACATCGTTCTCTTTGAAAGAGAAAGTATGCACCCAAATTCGAGTAGAATCCACCCAAATCGGCCAAAAATGGGTAAACTATGTTGGGAGTGACAAGTTGACAAATTAACAACGACAATCGGATTCATTTCGATGTTGTCCGTGTGTCAACTTGTCACTCCCAACATAGTTTACCCACTTTTGGGTACGTTCAGTTTTGAGCGATCTGGGTGGATTCTTCCCAAATTTTGGCGGTTTTGAAATAGCGTGTAGTTTGCTATCTCTTTTCTCTTCACCGACGGCAGACACGAAGCTATTGCTGCCACTAACAGCAATGAAGGTAGTAGGTGAAATGGCTCTAATGTTGGCATATGGCCTATCTAAGATTAGGCCCATCGCTAAAAATCTGCTATTTATCAATTTTTTTCTAAATGAACGCGTCATGGGGACGGTACAAATTAATATTTTTGGTCGCTATTGAAAATTTCAGTCGATTGCTGAATTTATGTATGGGCCCAAATTAGGGGCATTTAGACCAACATTAAATTCATTTCCCCTATTGGTTTTGTATTCGGGTGTAAAGCAAAAATCATAAAACTCAAACTTACCACGGTTTGGTTAGAATTGTAGCTGGTTGGTTATGTTAGCTTGATATTCATAGCTACGGTATCCACTGCTCGGAATATCATCCGCAGTTGCTTGATTGTTGATTTTTGTCCTCAAAAATCAAGGGAGATCTTGGGCATTGGTGAGCTTTGATTTTTTATATTTTCCCAAAACTGTCTCCTGATGTTCTTTAGACTGTCATTAAGTTTTGGATATTCTTGCAGGAACTGCCCTAAAGGAGTCAAAATTTATATGAAGATCTCCAATCTTCCCTGAAGTTTCCATGATTTTCATGATAATCATGAAACTGCCTGAAGTTACATAACTTTTTTTTTATGATCCTCAAAACTCATGACGTTCCTGAAATATTGCTTAGTTTAATCAATCTGCTCTGACGCTCTTTTATCTCTTCCCTGAAGCTGTCGAATCTTTCCAGAAATCTATGGAACCTACCCTTATGATCTTAAAACTTCTGTGTTGTTCTGAAAATTCTTTATGTTTTCGGATCTTCCTTTATATTCTTGAAATTTCCATAAAATTGTCAGATCTTCCTGAAGGTTCTGGCATTTTTTCGGATGTTAATGAAAATAACAAAGTTAACAAAATTTTCCTAAAGTTCTTGAAACTTCGTTTAAGTTTCTGCAATTTGACGGTGAAGTTCTCTAGAGTTTGTTCGTGGAAAATTCTGAAAAGTTTATGCAATTATTATGAACTTAATCGAACGGACCTGAAGTTCATAAAATTGTCTTGAAGTTTTTGGAACCTCCCTCAATTTTCCACAATTTCCCGGATGTTCGTGGAACCGCCATCAAGTTCTCAGCATGTGATAGCTCTCTGAATTTTCAATAAGACTTTGAACTTACCTTAACATAGTTTTTTTTTTAAAGGTCTTCAATTTTCTTAAAGTTTATGGAAGTATCGTCAAGTTCTCTGATCGTCATCTGAGTTCTAGGCGAGTAAGAGAGGTGCCACAGTCGGAAGAAGTGTTAGTTTGTTTACTAAAATGAACCGCCCATTTGGTTATGGCAAGTTTTGCTATAAGAAATGCTCCTCGTGTTTATTAGAGAAATTCACATCAAAGATTGATTAATTGCGTAGGAAATCAGTTTGGCAGGGCATTTGTAACCAGCATACACCTTCCGGTCGTATGAAACAGGTCAAAAACTGTCCAAATCCGCAGATAAAAAGTTTTGTTTTGAATTTCTGTAAGGCAAAATAGTGAACTTTTCTTGAACATTAACAGCAAAGAACTCACCAACACTGGGAGACCGTGAGTTCCTGCCCACCTGTCTTAAAAACATCTCGATCTAAGTTCACGAAAATGTAATGAAGTTTAAAGCACTGAACTTAAATTCTCGGAACCTACCCATAAATATCTTTAATCTTGATAATTCTTGATATTCTAAGCGTCGATAGACCAGTGGTAAAGACACAAGCCTGATAATCTCAATGTTGGTGGTTCGAAACCATTTTTACACTTTGACAACCGAGTGGATGAGATACGGACCTTGCAAGCGCAGCGTCTGTTAATCGACACCCAGGTTCACACACAAAGTTTTGAAGATTCATGTAGTTCTCGGAACTTTCCTGAAGTTTGTGGAAGTTCGCTGAACGCATAGGATGTTTCCTAAGGTTTTTGAAACATCGATAATGTATCCAAACTTAAGCTAATGGTCTTGGAACTTTCCTGACCTTTTTTGAAGTTCCCCGAATTTCTCCGAACTTCAAAAAAAATCCTTTAATTTTCCTGAAAATAATGCAACTGTTCTGAAATTCTCTGATACGTACCATGAAAACAAAACGTATATAAACTGACATGCTAAAATATGTTCAAATGTTTGCATAATGTTTTCTAAAGTAAATTTAGCATGCTAGAGTTAATTCTATATTTTTTAATTCGATGAAATTCATTTCAAGCGATTGTTTTCATCACCATGGGTGGAGCTATATTTCTCCATTCAACAGTGCCAAATGAAAATTGAAGGGCTAAAACTATGCAGGTTTAGAAAACTGGCTTAAAATACTCAAGTACCACAGCAGGAACATTGTAAAAACACTTAGATATATATCATAACAATTAAGGCTGATAAGTTAATGTAGTAGCTGGAGCACCTAGGTTGAAATGAAATGTAATTCATTTTAAATTTGGAACAAATATTGTTAAAAAAAGAGTGCCAAAACTCCTTTATGCCTTTGGAATTTTAGGTAGGTACATCTCTTCATAGGACCATTCCTAAGGCGGTCCAAATAATACATCCTAAGGCGGATGATATTACAAGCTGTGATATCGTAGCTACGAATCTCAAGCAAACAAAACTCACCAGCTACAGTTCTAACCAAATCGTGGTGAGTTTGAGTTTTAAAATGTTTGGTTAACACCCGAATGCGACCCGAAACTACCTTCACTGCTGGCAGCAGTAGATTCGTGTCTTCCATCGGTGAAGAGTAAAGAGAGATAGTAAACTATACTTTCTCTTTCTAAGAAAACGATGTGCAACGGAATCATTGTTGTGTCGAGTCAACTCTCAGCTACAATTTTACACGTTGTGAATAGTCTCGGGATATCAAAGTGCTTGTAAAATCAATATCAAGCATGATATTTTGTTCCAATATCACGCGTGATATTGATAGTGTACGGGAGCTGAAAAATATCATTTGATAACACTGATTATGTTAAGTAAGTTTGCAGCGCATTTTTGCTTAAATTGGCGTACAGTAATTCAAGTCTTCCCTTATGCATTTTAATGCACAGCTTTTATAAGTAAAACGCATGTTGATTGATATGTCTGCGCCCAGTTATTGTTGATAAAAAAAAAACAAATGGGTTTTCGCAGCTGCATCATCATGGAGTAACTTTGAGACTGGCCTGTTAACATCCATACCTCTTACGCCAAAGTCACGAGTTCAAATCACATCCCCGAAAAAAAACGCATTATCTAATAGTGTTTAAGTGACTTTAATAAATGATAATATAAACATAGGGACGATTCCCAAACACTGAAAGGACCTTGCTTTCTCACGATGATGCAGATTGCGGAAACATCAGTATTCATGCCAACATCATCAGAAATTACATCCACGGAAATTCGGTTTATGACAACAACCAACACTCGTCACATATGATTCATTTAGATAATCATCCCCTTCATCGGATACCATCAAAAGGTTCCTAAAATGCTGCTTTGAGAGCAACTTTAAAGATACAAAGGACGACGATAATGTGTAAAGCATGTGGCAGAATCTGGACAAGCAGTGACATGTCATTTGCATTTTGAAACCTTCTGGTTCAACCACTCTCTGTTCGCTCTGAAATTTTTACCAACTGCAAAAACTGAGCCAGCATTGCATGTAATGCTAACATGATTCTTGAGAAACGTGTCAGCTCGTTGTATTCATTCTTTCTCAAGCCAAAGTTTGATTCAATCATGAAGGACAACTCCTAAGCATTATTAAAACATGTGTTACGAACCATGTCAATTGGCTTATATAGCGTCGAAAAATATACCGATTTTTAATCATCATCTGATAGAGCTTCGTTTTCTGATTACAACGATATTTTTATCGATCCCGTAGACATTCATCTCGGTTTTTAAATCAATATTTAAATTTTTGATCGTTGACACTAAATCTATTCGTTCACAGCACGCTCCCATACAAAGTCCCTTCAAGGAGCGCTAAGATGGGGATTTTTGCTAATGTAATTGTACTTATTTAAAATTGTTCCAGTATACCAAAATTTATGAACTTTTAGATGTCGGTTCCATTTTTAATGCAGATAACGAATATGTATTTACCTCAATACCCCTAAACAACCCATTTGCTTTTAAACTTTTTTTTTTTCTTAAAAGACCTCACTGCCGCTTAGTAAGTATTTAGAAAATTTATTATCATTAACCATTCATCATTTTACAACCATTCACCCAAGCTCAAGTTCAATCCAATTATCAAAATCACATGTTTCCACAAGCTCGAACCCATCAGCCCCACATCTCCCATATGACACAACACGTCCACCGCATTTCATCACCCACCACAAGCCACACTCACACACAACGCATCACAACACAAAAGCCGGAGCTGTAAGCACCGCAATTTCACTCCGACTTCTCACTTACCTTCCATCGTGTACCGGTACAGCACCTGGTGCAGGACTCGCATCAACTGCCGGTTGCTACTGTGCACGGTAGCTGCACCGTGCTGCACTTCACCGCTGCTTCCACCACTTTCACCACCATCACCGCCGTGCAGTGCACAGTTGTTATTATTCTCGTCAACAACAGTGCCCTGGCCACTGCCGGCATGCTGATGCTGCTGTGGTCCTACCGCAACACCATGCTGAGCTTGCTGCTGATGGTGGTGGTGGTTGTGCTGGTGGTATCCATAGGCAGCCGCGTAATAGGCTTGACTACTGCCGGTGTACTGCATCTTGGGATCTTCGTCCTCACAGTAGAATGCGATTGCCATCGTTTGTTATTTGCCTCCAGTCCACTCGATTTCTACGTTTTCGCAAATCAATTATTTTAATCTTTTCTTAACAAAATTCAACCGTTTATAGAAATCCATCTGCGTTCACTCGACTTAAAAATTAGCACTTTGTTACTGTCCAGCCTACAGGGAAGCGTTTGCAGCAAGTCCAGACACTGCGAAACCTGTTCCGTCTTGAGGCAGAGACGCACACGTGAAAGTCAAAAAAAAAAAAATCAAGCGCCCAACAGGATGAGAGAAAATTACAACACAGCACAAAGCACGACTGAACTGAAGGTGCGGAAAATGTTACACACTCAAAACGCAACTACACAACCAAATGACAGCGAGAGAAAGGGATTAGCTGGAGAGCACCACATCCACACAGGTTCACTGCCAATCGAGAACTGAAGTGCTGCAGCAGGATCGGTTCTTCGGGTTTGCACCTCATATGGTATGAGGTTTGTTCTCCTCAGCTTCGTGCTGCACCCATCAGCATCGTCGTCCTCGGTCGGATGCAACACGCTGGCCGAATCGGAACCGAACTCGAAACCGAGCCGAACACACACACGATCACACGGAATGTGAGTGTATTGGTTGCAACGCTGCGACGTAGCACCCATGTTGCGCAGCAACATGGAATAATACGCAACATAATCGCTAAATGTCGCGAAACAAATCGGTCATGTAGCATCACATCCCCTCCACAAAAAAGTGAAACGTCGCGCGACAAAGCGAAAGTGTATGATTCATCACAATAGAATTCCAGACGGGAAGCGAGTTTAGGCCGTACAGGAAGAACGGTGACTGTGACGTGACAAATTTTTCCCGAGCGGTTGCTGCTGCAATAGAAACGCAAAAAGGGCGGTTCCTGGTGTTCACTGGCGGATGGAAACAGTGGAAAATGTGAAATCGTAGTTTTGTGGTGTGAGATGACGTGATGAAAAGGGGGAGTGTCTTGAGGATGACGGTAACACATTAGGGACAGGAGTGAGGCTATCCTGCGGGATGAGGCGGAGACGGTTGGTGGTAATACGAAAGGATGGGTGTCTTGGAAGGATGGAAAGGAATTGTTCGGGTGTCCATTTTGTCTATTGACTGTATGTCTTATGGCGTTATTAAATTTAAAATATTCTATTGTATTTCAGATTACTTTGCAGAGGTTAATGCAGTCATATGTTTCGTAATTACGGTTTGATTTATGTTTACTGTGATTTAAAATTCAAATATGCAGTGTGCAAGAAATGAAGAAAAGTTATTATCAAAAATGTTGTTTGTACTTGGGCCGCAACAAATAAAAAGTTTACTGTTGTCCAAGTTTCTGACAATCATGAAGAAGATTAAAATAAAACTTGCGAAATTTGATACAAACGGTGATAATCTGTAAAATGATTTAGTGGTATTGAAATGATAAACAATATTTTTAACTGATTTTAACTGATTTTGAAATGTCAATGGAAATTGAACTAGAGGCAATTTTTTGGAGCGAATTTAAACCTTTTAGTAAACTGCTCATAAAACTTAACTTGTGGCAGGGTTTTTAAGTTGATGACTAAAAACTTTTATTTCAAGAATTTCCTTGGAAGTATCCGAAGATTTGTCCACTAAATTTGAATTCTTTCCAAAATTTCCATGAAATTATAGCCACAAAATTCTAGGACTCCTCTACATAACACAACACTCGAATGATTGTCTCCAAAGAAACCGTGGCATTTATTTTACAATACTCTATTTTTTCAATGTTCTTGCAAAAAATTGCTGAAATTTGTTTTTATAGTTATGATTGTCAATACTGTCGCAGCTTGTTATCGGCAGTACGGGTTGAATCCATGCCATCGCTAATGCGTTTAATGACGTTTATGCATCGTTCTACTTTAATGCACCGTTAACTGTTTCAATTTTTCAATGTTTCTGCGTTTATTAATATTATTATTAATTTTTATTCATTTTGACAACCATATGTCAGATGCATCATTAGTACTGTAAGCAAAAGACAATTCAGCTGCAACGGTGGTGTAGTGGTAAGCGTGAGTGCCTCTGTCTGCAAAGGGCCTGTGTTCAATCTCAGTCGACGCCGCCGGGATTTTCTGAGGCATAAAATCTCTGATCACGCCTGCCTTCGGAAGGGAAGTTAAGCCGTTGGTCCCCGGTCCTTGAGTTGATGGGTCAATAGGTAGGGTTCAGTTGTGGGAGCTGCCTCCCTGGCCTCAGTAGCATTGGTACTCAGTACAGAAAACAGGATCGACGGAAAACAAATCAAGGGAAAAAACAATAACCAATAAGGAATCGCAAACGAACTATTGAATCTTTAATTTTAATAATATTATATTAATGCTTTATTCCTACAGACATGATGTTTAAACATGCTGGCAAATGACACATCAGTGGGAACCTGGACGAATTTTTAATTTTTCAAACTTTTTTAAAACATCCAGAGAACTTTATTGCAATCATAATGAAAAACTTACTAAGATCAATAAAACTTATACGAAGATTCCTGTACTGCAACAAAGATTCTTTAATAATATTCCATGAACTCAAACAAAGCTCCCTGAACTTCTTTCCAATCCATGTAACTTATCCCTGACCTTCAATGAAGTTCCCTAAATTTTTGGAAAGTTCTACGAAGTTTTCTGAACTTAAACAATATTTTATAGCTAAGTGACGAGCCAGCCACTGGCTGAAAGTCTGTCTAATAAAAAAATATAGCTTACACAAACTACATCTACATTTTTATCAACTTGTAAATATTTCCTATGTTTCATTCATTGTTCCCGGAAATTTGATCATCATGCTAGAACATCTTCAATTTCTACAATATTCCTATCTACAAAACTCCCTGAATTCCACGAATTTCTCGAAAACCTAGCCGAACTTCTATGAAGTTCCTCAAACTTCTACATAATGATTTGCTCTTCCAAGAAGTTTTGCGAAGTTTCACGATTTTATATTTAATGTGCTCAACTCATAAAAAGATCGCTGAACTATTTACTATACATTCCCTGCCCTTCTATGAAACTTTTCGGATTTTCAAGAATTTCTTTATTTTCTGTTTCCTGAAGTATTTGTATACAATATGAAAGTCTAAACAAGTCCTTAAAACACTCTATTTTGCTGAAGACAAAAGAAACTCTCAGGATTTTAATAGAGTTTCCTTTAATAAAAAAAAGTTTCGTTAACTGCATTGAAGTTTCTTATACATGTACGTTTTTCGTACTTGTACCATAGAGGTAACTCTAAGACTAGAAGGTCCCGAAGAAACGTGCTCAACTTTTTGGCTCAGCTCTGGTACTATCTTCGGTCCCAAGCTAATCGATGAAACATAGGAAAATCCACTAACCCCTCATTTTATCTGTCAAACTTTCATAGCTTATCAAAACAAACATAGTGTAGTACTAAAATTTTGACTATAATGGAGTACGTTAATCGTTTGCTTGTGACCAATAGGCTAGTCAAGTAGTGAGCCAATTTAAAATCGTTAGTTTCGTATTGATTGTTGCTTGTACGCTGTTTTCTTAAAAAATAAACTGAGAAACTCTTCGAATTTATATTAAATTCCAAGAATTTCTAAAATTTCACTGGAACATCTTTAAAGCCACTAAAGATCAAAGAAACTCAATGAAGGTAAAACAAATGCCAAACTTTAATAAGCTTCCTAATATTTCTGAATAAAAAATTAAAGTTTGATAAAGTTCTACTACATAATTTGAAATTTTACTGAAGTTTAACGAAGTTCCCTGGATTTCTATGAACTTCTATGAGCTTTTACCCTAAGAACTGAACTCCTATAAAATTTTATTCACTTCTAGAAAATGTCCATAATGTCCAGGGGTGGGAAACTTCCACTTTGTATGAAGTTTTCAACGTAGTAGAACGAATTCAAATAAAAGGTGTGAAACCCAAGGAAGACTATCTTCTTCTATTAATAGAAAAGCTACTTATTTGTGGTTTGAAAATCGAACTTCATACATCGGGTATTATTTATTTCCACATTTAACCTCACTACAAACTACTACGTGATCACGTTTTTAACTTGTTTGTGTATGTGTTTGTCTACCAATTTAACAATTTTAACAATTTTCGTGCTTTGTCTTATGTCCTAACTCTGCATGCATATCGGTTTTCAACAAAAAAAACATAACCAGCGCGACTTACTGTTTCTCAGGAGGGTGCTGTGGTGGTGGTGGTGACTTACGGACGCAGGTACTGATGAACTACGGTGGTTATTGGTGGTGATCCACTGCTCTTCAATGGCCACCTGACCGTCGATCCAGTCAACCGGGAGGCCTCAGGTGATGGTCAATTTCAATGGCCGCTTTCCGTGGTGACTTCCAGCCAAAGTGGCCGAAACAATGGCCTTATCCAGGGGACGCAAGGCTTCCCAAAATGGCTGACACAGTGGATGGTCCCAGCCTTTGTTCTGGCGATGTGTAACTCCCAGAGTGACCGAAACAATGGCCGATCTTAGCCGTCGTTCTGCCACTAAAATGGCGTACTTGGAGAGATGTGGTGGACCTTACCGCTCGAATGAATCCCTCATCTGCCGTGGCCTCCATTGGAGCACCCGCAGGGACGATTTCTGGCTCAGGGATGTATTTTCCGGAGGACAACAATGTCCACGTGGTATTTGACCGTCGATTAACGTGCTGTGTGGTCCTAGATCTATCTAGACGAACGGAAAAAGGCCTCACTTGGCCTGTTAAAGTTTAGATTAGTCTTACGTCACCAAATTTAGGGTACATTTTCAAAAGCCATACCTAATATCGCTCAAAAGATTAACTTTTTTACCTTTGCACTCCGGTAACTCTTCGTATTGGAGATGGACAGTGGTCCCTTTCTCCGGCACAGCACCCCTAGGTAGGTAATACTAACATTTAGGACATACTTTTATTAATCAAACTAACACTTTTACCTCTACTAACACGTACTAACACTCTGACTTCTCTACCACTAGTTAATAATTAATCTTAAATAGAAAAAAAAAATATAAATTTATAAAGAGAACCACACACTTTTTACACAACGTACAACCTCGATTATATTAACGCGCCGCGCCCTTCTAACCTCCTTGAAGTCTTGACCCAGAAAGAACGAATCAGTCCGACCGAAGTAACTAGAAAGTTCTAGAATTGCAGGGTGCCTACAATTTTCCTGTTCATTTTTTGGACAAGCCCCCCACTGTTCAACCCGATAATTATGTTTCTTCCCTAGCTTGGATTTACAGTGTAATGCCTTGTTCAGACTACAGAGTTATAACATGTTATAGCGCTATCTTGATGGTGGTTTCTGTGTTGCAATTATTGACAACCGTTATAACATGTTATAACTGCTCAGTCTGGACAGCGTTTAAGACATCCTGGAGTAGACCCAATTCATTTGCTTAGAAAAT